ATTGACTTTGTGTGCAGCTGGTCCAGAACTTCCTGCTTTTGAGGAAAAGCAGCCTGAGCTCCCACAGTGGAAAGGGATGGAAAGAGCTTCTCCCCAGGGACTGGAGTCTGAGCATCCCTTCCCATGCTACAGAAAGGGCCCCCCACTGGAAAAAAATCCTTCCTCAGGAGGGACACAGCCTGGGAAGAAGAACCCACCCACCACTAGTGTAGGAGGCTTCCCCCTTGCTGCAGCCACTCATCACCCTGGCTTTGGAGCTTGCAGGATGGATGGGGCAGGCTGGGCAGAGCCTGGACCCTTCAGGTCTGACTTTGCTGCTGGCAAAGACACTGAGCACGAGGTACCTCACACCTGGGCACTTTCTGCCCAGGCTCCAGGGCCAAAGCTGTTAGCAGAGCATCCTTACCATGTAGCTCTCCTTGGTTGCAAAGTCGTGGTAGTAAAGCTTTCCCTCTCCCCCAATGTAGATGGCTGAGCTGTTTTCTTCATGGTAGAAGACTGGGTACTTCTCACTCCGGGGGAACACATACTCCTTTGCACCTAGGAACAGCACACTTGTCGGGGGAACTGCAACTGCTCCTGCACCCTCTTCCCCCAGCTTTTTGTCCCCTGCTTGGAGACCTGGGGTGTGTTTCATTGGAAGGGGGACGAGGGCTGAAGGGGAGAGGAGATGCCGTGGGGAGGTGCAGCTGGGGGTGCTCAGGGGAAGGGGGGAGGGGGGAGAAGGGGGAGGGGGCCTGCCGTGGGGAGGTGCAGCTGGGGGTGCTCGGGGGAGATCCCCCACCAGCATCACACCCCCCTCTGCCAGCACCTCCCTCCAAGGGCCAGGAGCCCCCAGGGATTGGGGAGGGATGCCATGCAAGGCTGCAAAGGCCCCAGACATAAACAAGAAGTGAGCTGCAAGACCCCGGGGCCCGTGTCACAACCGGTAGCTGCAGCTCTCCAGCCCCAGCTGGGGAGGAAGAACAGCCTGTCCTCCCCCACCAGCATCACACCCCCCTCTGCCAGCACCTCCCTCCAAGGGCCAGGAGCCCCCAGGGATTGGGGAGGGATGCCATGCAAGGCTGCAAAGGCCCCAGACATAAACAAGAAGTGAGCTGCAAGACCCCGGGGCCCGTGTCACAACCGGTAGCTGCAGCTCTCCAGCCCCAGCTGGGGAGGAAGAACAGCCTGTCCTCTCCTCTTTCCTTCCCCTTTCCCCTTCTAGCATTTCCAGGTCCTCTTTCCTGAGAGCAGCCTCCCTTCCCTTCCATCTTGCCAGCTCAGGTGGGGGAGGCTGGCCCTGCACCACAGCCATCAGCCTCCTCTCCTGGGACCTTTGCAGGGTCCCCTGGTCCTGCAGTGTCCCCAGGGCAGTCCAGCCCCATCTGGGCAGCTTTCCAAGCCCAGCTCCAGAGCAAGGTGCAATGCAGGTGCCATCCATGCACTGCCCCAGGCTGCTCTGTCCCCTGCTGGAGTTTGCAGCAAGGACACGAGAGGAACTGTGTCATTGTCCCCTCTGAGCAGGGGGGAAAAAAAACCCAACCTGATCTAGGACTGAGTCCTAAGCATGACAGGGCATTCCATTTTCAGCTCTCTCTCTCTTCCCTGTCTCCAAAGAAGGGGAGAGGCCTCTCTCTCCTGGCAAGTTCCACTGCTCCCAGCAGACAAAGGCTGTGTCTGCCTGAGGAACTGGCTGCCTGCACAGAGAGGCAATTAATCAGTGGCACGTGTCCCTCTCTATTTATAGGGGCACTTGGCAGGACAGGCAAAGGACACAAGCTCTGCACAGCCCAGCCCTCCCCCTCTGCCCGCAGCGTGTGCAGGGGTCCTGCCAGGGATCTGCAGAGCCCAGGGGAAAAGAGGAGTTCCTAGAGGTCACTGGGGCTGCTGCATGTCTGCTCCAGTTGTGGCTTCTTCTCCACGTCAGGATCCTGGTTGTAGCTCCTCAGGGTCTCTAATCCCTGCGGGGTTCAAGGGACCCCACCAGTGGTTTGGCTAAGGGGGGGCTGCTGCTGCTGGGAAGCCCAGCCAGGCCCCTTCCCAAGGGCACCCCAACCTGGAGGAGAGGCTGGAGCTGTGCCTGGGACAGGGAACACCCCCGCCCCGC